AAATGAGTGTTAGTTGTTTCAAACAGCAAAAAAATAAAATCAATGCATTTCGTTTTCAAAATGATTTTTTTTTACTTTCTCCACGTATTAAATGTTCACGGGCAATCTGTGTATGGACATGGATAGCGACAACTGCCTCTAAAATGCCCATGAGTCTGCCTAAAATGTTGCAACAATAAATACCTGCTATCTAGTTCCAAACTGCATTCTTTGCACTGCCACATACACTAACCTAAAAAAAGAAAATTAAATACATTTAGCATTCATTATATTAATAATAACAACAATACATAACAACATAGTAAGAAGATAATACTTACTGTCACTAGGAGGTTGCCAGAAGGAACCCTGTAAAGCTGATCAAACTGCAAAGATAAAATAAATGCATTAGTAGTGTAATTAGTCAAGCTTTTACTCAAACACACAATATGCACTAAAGTGCAAACACACATCAACAATAGTCTGTGAGGTATCAAGACTGGCGGTGAACAGACACAGAGGGATTTACCAGGCATTGATCGAAAGGCAGGCTGCGAGTATCAGAGTCCGTGTATCAGGCTTGGATCGTGGGCAGGCAGCGGATATCAGAGTCCGTGAATCAGGCGTGGGTCGTGGGCAGGCAGCGAATATCAGAGTCCGTGTATCAGGCGTGGGTCGTGGGCAGGCAGAAGGCGAAGCAGAGTCAGAAACAGGCTGGAGTAATACACGAGGAATCAGGCAGGGAATAACACTCAGTAATGCTGGCCGGGGCTAAACAAGACTTCGCACTGACTGAGTGTTTGTGTGCGGCTTATGAAGGGTACGTGGGTCGTTAACAAAATTCAAGACAGGTGTGTGCACAATCAGCGTAAGTGGATGATGTAATGCTAGAAGTCCGGAGATGGCGGCCTCTGCTGGCCAGCGAGGGGAGTGACTGGGACCGAGTCGGTGACAGAGCCCCCCCCCCAACAAACGGCTCCTGAAGTGAGAAGAGTCTCGACACCGGGGTCTTCCACGGGGGCGAGGGGCCGGCATATCCGGATACTGCAAGTGGAACTCATCCAACAGAGTTGAGTCAAGAATGTCCTTACGGTTGATCCATGATCTTTCCTCCGGGCCGTACCCCTCCCAGTCGATGAGGTATTGAAGTTGACCACCCCGGCGTCTGGATCTCAGGATCTCGTGGATCTGATAGGCTTCCTCTCTGTCGATCATGAGAGGCGGGGGACCCTGTTCACCAGCTGCCACCTCCCTATCCGCCTCGGCTGGGCCAACAGCAGGCTTGAGCAGGGAAACATGGAAAGTAGGAGAAATGCGATAATGGTTAGGGAGTGTCAGTCGAAAGGAAACAGGTGATATTTATCGTTCAATTTGAAACGGACCCACTTACCTGGGACTGAGCTTCTTGCAGGGTAGTCTCAAGCGAAGATCTCGAGCGGATAGCCATACCCATTGTCCTGGGGAATACGTGGGACCAGGACGACGGTGACGGTCGGCTTGCTCTTTGAACCTTCGGATAGCATGTGATAAGTGGGTGTGAGCTGCGTTCCATACCTCCTCGCACTTTCTGAACCAGGTGTCGACTGCTGGGAGTTCTGTGGTCTCCCCTGACCAGGGAAATAGAGGAGGTTGAAAACCTAGTACACATTGGAAGGGAGTCAGACCTGTAGATGCCTTTCTTAGGGAGTTCTGCACATACTGAGCCCACATAAGGAACTTATTCCAGTCTGATTGGTTGGAATGACAGTAGGTGCGTAGAAAGCGACCGATCTCCTGGTTAAGGCGTTCTGTCTGTCGGTTAGACTGAGGGTGATAGCCGGAAGTCAAACTGATATTCACTTGGAGATTCCGGGAGGCGGCGGACCATAGTCGGGATGTGAACTGGGACCCTCGGTCTGAAACAATGTCTTCAGGAAGACCATAATATCGGAATACACATTCGCATAAGAGCTCTGCTGTTTCTAGGGCTGTGGGTAATTTAGGTATGGCGATAAGGCGACAGGCTTTTGAGAAACGGTCCACGACCATGAGAATGGTGGTGTTCCCCTGTGACTGGGGTAAATCCGTGATGAAGTCGATGGCTATGTGAGACCATGGACGACGGGGAACCTCTAAAGGTTAAAGTAGACCAGCTGGACGATGATGGGAATGTTTAGCCATTTGACAGGGGGAACATTTGAGGAAATTGATCACGTCTTTATTAATGGATGACCACCAATAGCGAGATTGGATCAATTGCACTGTTGCAATACTACCTGGATGACCGGAACTGGGGTGATTGTGAACTTCTGCAATCAGTTTTTCACGGAGCAAGGGAGGCACATAAATCTTGTTCTCGGGACATGCCTGCGGAGTGGGGTTTTGATCAGAAGCCTGAGTGATCTCGTGTTCGATATCCCACTGAATGGGTGCTATAATTAGCGGATTCTTCAGAATAGATTCGACTTCTTCTGTCGAAGTCTCCTCATCTGAGATACGAGAGAGAGCGTCTGCCTTTATGCTCGGCCGTCGGTTCCTCATGTTCTGCTCCAGCTGCGCTTCACTGAACAACAGAAGAGAACAGACCTTTTTATTGCAAAATACTGCAAGGTCGGGGGCATTTGTTTTATGTTTCTTCTTATCCAGAAATTGATGTACAGTGGGGAAAATAAGTATTAAACATGTCATGTTTTTTTTTCCTGGAAATAATATTTCTAAAGGAGCTGCTGAGATGGAATTGAACCAGATATTGGTAAAAACACAAACAATACAAACAAAAGTAAAACAAAAAAAAAACTGAACAATTAGTTATGTGTAACAACAATGAAATGGCACAAGAAAAATGTACTGAACTAGTGAAATGTATTTAATACTTTATATTACTGACTTTTTGATGATGGCAGCTTAAATATGACTCAGGGAAAATAAAGTCACATGAATTGCTCAGGAGTTGTCACGATCACCAGCGGTTTAACTTCTGGAGATCGCTGCTAAATACATTCACATGAACTACAAATCCGCCATGTTATGGACTACAACACCCAGTCATGCCACACACACACACACACACACAAACGGTTCAAGATCCTGACCTGATCCTACACTGAAGCTGCTCAAGGACTGATTCATGGATTACATAAGCAGCACAAACGCACACAATGGGGCTGAGTCTTGTGTACTGTTTATGTGACAATACAACGCGTTTTCCTTGGTCTTGCTTAGCCGTGTTTTGATCCTCGTCTTGTTTATCTGTGTATTCCTGTCTTCTGACCATCTGCCTGACTACGATTCTTGATTGCCTGTACACATGTTTGCCCCCGTGTTGACCATTCTAATAAACCTGCATTTGGATCCGCACCCCTGTTGTCAGCGTCACTTCCCCATTACAGAAGACTCAGCCACAACTTTGTGTTTGAGAGGTGTAGATATATATATATATAGTCTCTGTTATCAGTTCAAACGCAGCTTCAGGAGTGTCTAATTAATGGTGACTTAAAGCAGGTGAGTGTATTTACCAGTGATCTTTGGAAGTTAAATCGCTGGTTATCCTGACAGGTGTGAGTTTTTTCATGGACTTCAAATAATGTAAAAATCTTGATAAATCTGGGGGTCTTGTCTATCAAATTTGATCTTTAATTTGTATTCTCTATTGGATTCAAGTCAGGTGATTGGCTGGGCCATTCCACGGCTTGATTTTCTTTCTCTGAATGCATTTAAGAGTTTACTTGGCTGTGCTATGGATCATTGTCTTGCTGAAATGTATGTAATGTAGATGTTGGACTGAAGCAGCTAATATTTATTTACAATTACGAAGGGCAGAGGGCTGCTGAATAACTACTGAGAGCTTCCTTTCTTCATGTGTTCAATACTTTTCCCTGTGTCATTTCATTTTATTATGCATAACTTAGTTTGTAGTCTAATTAATTTAGTTTTCTTCGCATATATAGATTTCTTAGGTTTTCACCAACATATGGGGAAATTTCCAGCCAACAGCACCTTTAAAAATATGTTATCTGAGAAAAATAGTGACATGTTCAGTACTTATTTCCCCCGCTGTAGAAACACTGTAGCAGGGTCCATTATGAACTTTTCCATTGAGGTTCAATATTGCTCCCTGAGGCATTTGGGGTTATGTTCATAAAGCCAATTGTTATGATGACTTCAGTGTAACAAATTACATGCAGTCAGACAGAACACTTTAAACTCACTGATTATCAACAGACAGTTTAAAATTGTATCTAGCAATAATGCATTAAAGGGTATTGCTCCAGTATTATGATTAGAACAAAAGTGTTGAATATTGCTCTCAATATTTAGTAAGAATTATAAACGTAGATGAATTAAATGCTGCACGTTTTCATGTGATATTAAAGGCATAGTTCACACAAAAATTAAAATTCTGAAAAAGAAAAAATTATAATTTACTCTCCCTTCACTTGTTCAAAACTTGTTTCCTTTTTTTTTCCTGCTGAACACAAAGATATTTTGAAGAATGCTGGTTGCTGGGACCTATTGACTTCCATAGTATTTTTCCTTCTTTCTACTGTGGAAGTTAATGGGTGCCAGCAACCAGCATTCCTCAGAATGTCTTTTAAAAGCATGTAAATAATGATGTAAACATTTTGGGGTGATTTATCTCTTTAATAGTGGCAGCTGAAATAGATTTTGTTTAAATTTTGTGTAGAGAAAATTTTTTGCCCCATTATCAAGAATTTGTAGGACTGAGTTATTTTTAGTTACTAAACTCTTAAAAATACACTGAAAAAAAAAGATCCTAAAATTAAAATGAAAAACTTTAAATGAAAAAAATATATATAATAATAGTATCTAAATAACCATAAGATTAAAAATATTTCAACATTAACATTAAGTAAAACTTTTTTTTAAAAATGACAGAAGCACACAAGAAAAATTACTTATAATAAACATAAAACTAAAAAGCATAAATTCAGAATTAAATCAGGGAAAAAGCATTAAAGGATTAATTATTGGTGAAAATATTTCAAACTGTTATACATTTTTAAAAATGTTTCAAAACTTACGTGAAGTTGTGTGGTGCAGGTGAAATGGCCTTTTTCTGTATGTCCTTATAAACTGGTGACTTCAAGTAGCGATAAAAGGTATCCTAAAAGTTCACAAATGAACAATGCTTTTGTTATGTTTCTTTTTTATAAAAATAAGTTTCAGTAATTAAATGACTAAAACTGACATGAGCATAAAGTACAGCTAAATTAAAAAATGATAAAAGTCACAACAAATTGCCAAACCTAAGAAGAAATACAGAGCTCAGAAATGTTCAATTCTGTTACGTTATATTAAAAAGATCCATTCTAAATACTTCACTAAACATACAGATCACACAAAAAAAAACTCTCCAAGAATACGATCAAACCTTCTTCATGAGCATGAAGATGTGAGTCTGTGCCGCCTCCAGCACATAGCGGTGAGGATGCTCCAGTCCCTTTACTGTAAGACCCATTGTCCTGCCGTCAATGTTGATCCAGCGTGGAGCTCCTGGGGCCAAAAACGTTCTGCAAAATTTAAAAAAAGAGAGAAATGTTCAGCTATAGAGACCAGTTGTATAAATTGCCATACATTAAGGCAATACAAACTCACTTGAAAACTTGTTCAGCTTTTTCTGACATTGTAGCTGCTGAGCCAAATTTTAACTCCTCAGCAGCTTCCCAGAAAGCTAAATTCTCACCTGTAGATGAAAAGAAACACATGTTCTAGTGCCTATAGGAATAGTAAACAGAAATATGCTGTAGCTGCAAGCAGCAATTTTCAGGGTTTAAGCAATTTAAAGCCAATACTGTATGTGTTCTTGTAAAAAAAAAAAAGTATCCTTTAGTAAATCTTAACACCTTTTAGCACAATTGATGCAAAACAATTGATTTGTTTTACACTTGTAGTGTAACTAATTGGTAAAAGATTGATCAAGGACTAGCTTGCAAAATTACACAAAACACATATAATGCACTTGAGTCTGGCCAGTGGTTTATGGCAGAAAAGTGACATTTGGACCTTTCCAATAACTATAATATAGTTTCAAAAAAAAATAATAAATAAATAAAAACATTTAAAAAATGAATAAAATCAATGTTTTAATTGAAGTACTTTAAAGAAATGAAAATTGCTAATACAAACCGAAACAAATGTAAATTACAGCAAATAAAAAATTATAGAAAAAATAATAGAGAAAAAAATACAAAAGCTTATCTTAAAACGAAGGATATGAAAACAAAACTGTATTGTGTCAAAAAAAACAAGACAAATATATTAATATAATGTAATGTGTATTTGTGCACTCATGGGCCTCTTTATTAGGTACACCTGGCCAACTGCTCGGTAACCAAATTTCTAATCAGTCAATCACATGGCAGCAACTCAATGCATTTAGGCATGTAGACATGGTCAAGATGATCTGCTGCAGTTCAAACCGAGCATCAGAATGGGGAAGAAAGGTGATTTAAGTGGCTTTGAACAAGGCATGGCTGCTGATTTACTGGGATTTTTACGAACAACCATCTCTAGGGTTTACAGAGAATTGTCTGAAAAAGAGAAAATTTCCAGCGAGTGGCAGTTCTGTGGGTGCAAATGCCTTGTTGATGCCAGTTGTTAGAGGAGAATGGACAGACTGATTCGAGCTGATAGAAAGGCAACAGTAACTCAAATAACCACTCGTTACAATAGAGGTATGCAGAAGAGCATCTCTAAACGCACATATCGAACCTTGAGGCGGATGAGCTACAGCAGCAGAAGACCACACCGGGTGCCACTCCAGTCAACAAAGAACAGGAGACTGAGGCTAGAAGTCCCACAGGCTCACCAAAATTGGACAATAGAAGATTGGAAAGACTATGCCTGGTCTGACGAGTCTCGATCTCTGCTGCGACATTAGGATGGTAGAGTCAGAATTTGGCTTCAACAACATGAAAGCATAGATCCATCCTGCCTTGTTGCCATGGTTCAGGCTGGTGGTGGTGTAATGGTGTGGGTGGATATTTTCTTGGCACACTTTGGGCCCATTAGTACCAATTAAACATCATGTCAACACCACAGCCTACCTGAGTATTGTTGCTGACCCTGTCCATCCCTTGATGACTACAGTGTACACATCTTCTGATGGCTACTTCCAGCAGGATAATTCAATGTCATAAAGCATGGATAATCTCAGACTTGACAATGAGTTTACTGTACTCAAATGGCCTCCATAGTCACCAGATCTCAATCCAATAGAGCACCATTGTGATGTGGTGAAACGGGAGATTCACATCATGGATGTGCAGATGATAAATCTGCAGTAACCACGAGATGCTATCATGTCAATATGGACCAAAATCTCTGAGGAATATTTCCAGTACCTTGTTGAATCTATGCCACGAAGTATTAAGACAGTTCTGAAGGCAAAAGAGGATCCAACCCGATACTAATAAGGTGTACCTAATAAAGTGGCTGGTAAGTGTATAGAGCATTTACATACACCCAAAGTGTTTAACAATCACGAGGGAGGGTCTCTCCACACCAGTGTATATTAGCAATACATTGAAACTTTACTGGCCCTAATATAATCAGAAAAGTATTCATCAAAGTGAAGCATACCGCTGAATTCTTTTTTCAGGAAGACCTTGAAGTCTGCACGGCCTCGTGGGTCATTGAGCAGCTCGTAGAAGCTGAAAGACCAGCGCTCCACTCTCATCTTTGTGGGGACTTCAATACTGCCAAAAAAAAATCATAACTATTAGTTATCATCATTCTTACCCAATCAATGGATTTACATCAAGAACTTCAAACACTTTATATATGGTACAAGTTTTCTAAAACCTCACATTTAAATATGCAAATAAGACATTATTTCATTAAATATGAGCTAATCTGCATACCTTTCTAGCACAAAAAATTAACCTCTTTTCATTTGCATTTTCAAACTTTTTCAGCACCTTTACAGGTGGGATAAAATATATAATATATATATACACCTATAGCTTGATTTTACTGTTTTTTTACACGACTAAAATTTCATAATATATATACACAATATAACACTTGAACCAAAAGCATATATATATATATATATATATATATATATATATATATATATATATATATATATATATATATATATATATGCTTTTGGTTCGAGTGTTATAGTGTATATATATATTATACAATTTTAGTCGTGTAAAAAAACACTAAAATCAAGCTATAGGCACATGATTTTTAAGACTTTAAAACACCAAACTACCAGCAGCCTTACAAACCCTTTGAATAAAAATCTTTGGTGTATGCAGTTCTGGTTTATGTGAATGTTGCTGAAGAGATTTAAGGCTTAAAGAAGGACAAAATACTCATTTAGAAATCTACAGACACAAGTTGATAAAGCGCGACAAAATGGAGGGATATTTTCTTTATATCAGCCTTAAAAAAAACATCAAATGGCACCTATTTTACTCCTTTTTCAAGATTTAAGATGAGTCTTTTGTGTCTCCAGGATGTGTCTGTAAAATTTAGCTCAAAACACCCATTAGATTATTAATTATACCTTTCTGATTATTGGAATTTTCTGCTCTAAACACAATGTAGCTGTTTTTATTGCCTGTGCCTTTAATGCTAGTTCTCCCTGCCCACACCGTTTCTATGTGCCTTTAAGAGTGTGCCTCAATCTCCGCCTCAGCTATATCAGATAAACAGCACAGTGACAGACATGAAGGAAGCAGATCTCACATAACATTTGTGAGAAATACTACAATAAGAACTTTACCAATGATTATTTGATGTATTTGTTGTGTAGTTAATTCAAGTCTTTCTGCAACAATGAGTCACACACAATGTCATTAGGAAGTTCACACACATACACAGCGCACGCATTTAACTTTGGACTGTTTTTGCACAACAAATGTGACAGGATACACATTAATATCCACTGCTGTATAAATATGTGTTATGTTAATGTTTAAAATAAACCTGATTTAACGTCCAAAAACAGGATTGAACGGTCTTCTTTTATAATTGTATTGACACGCAGGTGTGGAGATAAAGACGGTAAAATCGCTGTAATTCACAACAAACATGCACTGATTTAAAAAGGTTTTAAAGTTGTAAAACTCGTTCTTGATCACATTTGATGATGACTGATGTTCACAGAGAGCTGAAGAGATCTTTTAATCCCAGTTGCTTTGTTGATATGTCTTGTTGATATAATTATACTCATTACTAAGAAGACTTGTTCATACGTGGCTGTCAATCAATTTTGTGGGTGGGGAAACCACACTCCTATGTCACGTTGCGGTGGACCTCAATATAGGAAGGATTTGGATCTTATTTTACCATCAGGAAATTTAAAAAAGAGACTTATTGTCTTTATATCACTCCAGTATGACTGTGGACACACTATCTCTACACAAATTTCTGTCTAAACAGCTTACAAAAGACGATTTTCATCATATGTGCCCTTTAGGAAAAGCTTAAAGGGGTGGTCCACTACGATATTATATTTTAAACTTCAGTTGATGTGTAATGTAGCTGTGTGAACATAAACAGCATCTCTGAATGTAAAATATTCAAAGTTTAATGCAAAGGGAGACCTTGATTTGTACAGAGTTAGCTTAGCAACGCCTACAATTAACGAATTTTGGGGACTACAAAAAATACTTCCGCCCCCTGTGAGATCACAAAAGTTCGTTATTGCGCATCCCACACTGCGCAGGTAAAGGCCGTGGCCAGAGGCGCTGTAACGTTACTGCAGAGAGAGAAATGCCATCCTGCTGTTTCCACAGAGCTGTTCTGTTTCTGTTGTTGGGCTTCCAAATGACACGACCCAAACACAGAAGTGCTTACAGTTCAATATTAATTATGTTCCAGAGAACTATAAAATACATAGCAAGCATGATTTGACAAAACACAGCTTCCAGAATCTCTCCCAGTTCAGTGCTGGATTCAGTTAAAATCTCCTCAAAGATGGAGCAAGGAGACGCTGTGAACTCTGAGTCATGACCTGTAAGTGTTTTTATTTGTTAAAATTGATCATGACATGTACAGTGTCTAACTTTAACGGTGTGTTATAGCAAAGATGTAAACAACGGGAAATTATGGTAACCGCTAACGACTTAGCTAACGTTACAAATCCATATTTATCAAACGGCTGTAAACGCACACACACACATACACATACACGCACTCTTGGCCAGCACCTGCGTCTCTCTGTGTGAGACGGCAGAATTTCTCTCTATAGGCAGCTATGCTATGCGTTTTACAACTCGGACAATAAAGTCGCAAAAGATATGTGAACGATTCATGTTACTTACACAGGCATATTCCGCATATGCATGAAAGACGTCCTGTAACGCATTGATTTTAAAAAAATACAGCAATGATTTCCCAACTGGAGTGTAACATCAAAAACAAATCAATCCAGGCTCACAAAGGTCTCATCTCACATCTTGTGCTTTATTCTGTCACCACAGAAAATAACTTAATCCGAGCATGAGAGAAAAAGAACAATAAAAATCTCTCCCGCGCACATGCGCTTCTCGTGTTACAAATACTTCATCGTATACACGCATAAACACACTAAAAGGCACAGAAACAGTTAAAGGAGCCGCATCCCATTTTCACTCGTTACAGACACGTGTTGACTGACTGACTGACTGTTTACACAAAACGCGCGTGCTTGTCAGGGCGTGACGTGAAGCCGATCGGCGTATCACAGCATATTATGATGATGACCAATCAGAGTCACTTGAGGGTGGGCCTTTTAGAGGAACTAGGAAATATGACAGTCGTTTTCATGTTAGCTGAGTAGCTGTGTATAATCAAAGTGAGATATATGAAAAAATAACACGATTTCCTTCAAGTTAAACATGAGCACACATTGCTTTGCATCTTATTAACACAACCAAGCCTTAAAAATAACATTCTGGACCACCCCTTTAAAACTGAAAGGCCTCCAGGGGTCTTACTCGTCTGTGTTCAGCTCCCAGTACGCGTCATTATCTGTCAGCCAGGGATTGCTAGGAAGGCAGGGAACCAGGAACGGGTCATGGTTATTGAAGTTTGTTATATACTTTAGCATGCTGGAAGCAAAAAAAAAAACAAAAAAAAACAGGCATTTAAAAGAAAAGTCCATTAAGAACTTTTAGGAGACAACTAAATGTTAACTAAGGTTGATTTTGACTTACGCTCCGAGAGACACTGAAGACTTGACCCTTGACCTCATGATGGCCTGTTGTGTGTAGATGTTCTAAAATATAAAATTACAACCAATTAATCACAAAACAACAACAACCCATCCACTGCATTTCTGTAAAGAAGTGCTGTCACTTACGATTCTTCTGTAGTAATCAAAGGTTTTTTTCTGGGGGAAAAAGAGAAAGCAACTTTCTATTATGTTACAATCAAAAATGTGCCTAATAAAACACAAGACACAACGGCTACATGCTATCTTGAAAACACAAGTGATACACAACAGGGGTGTGCAATTTTCACAAAAAAATTATATCTCAATATCTGCTTTTTTCCTTTAATTTTTTCGATAGCAAGTACTTTTTCGGAGTGTTTTTGAGCGATTGACAGATGCCGGTAGGTTATGGTAAGTCTCTGTCTTAATGACTGATTCAGTGAATCATTCATTTTAGGTATTTATTTAAATGATCTGAATCGTTTAATAACAATGACTTGTGCTTTGCAAAAATGGATGATTGAATCATTTAACAGCTGATTCATATAATGAAATAATACATTTACATTTAGTCATTTTTAATCCAAAGTGACTTACAAATGAGGACAAGGAAGCAATTTACACAACTATAAGAGCAACAATGAATAAGTGCTGTAGGCAAGTTTCAGGTATGTAAAGAAAGTGTAAGAAGCAAAACATTAGTAATGTTTTTTTTTTTTTTTTTTTTTTGTAGCAGTATTTAGTGGTGGAGCCAGAGAGGGAATTGCAGATTAGTAGGGAAAGTAGAGACTAAATAATTGAGTTTTTAGTCGTTTCTTAAAGACATCGAGGGACTCTGCAGTTCTGATGCAGTTAGGGAGTTCATTCCACCAACTGGGCACATTGAACTTGAGAATTCGGGAAAGTGATTTCTTCCTTCTATGGGATGAAACCACGAGGCGATGTTCATTCACAGAATGCAAGTTTCTGGAGGGCCTATAAATCTGGAGAAGTGAGAGCAGATAAGAAGGAGCAAAGCCAGAAATCGCTTTGTAAGCAAACATCAGTGCTTTTAATTTGATGCGAGCAGCAACTGGCAGCCAGTGCAAACGGATGAGCAGTGGAGTGACATGTGCTCTTTTAGGTTAATTAAAGACCACTCGTTCTGCTGCGTTCTGAAGCATAATAATAATGACTTTTTATGAATGGATCATTAAATCATTTGTTTAAATGATTAATTAAAAACTGCTGATTAATTCAATAATGACTCAACTGACTATAAATAGATTGCTGAATGATTCATTCAAATGTTTAATTTAAAATGGCTGATTCATTCAATGAACAAGCAACTGGCTTTTTAGGAATGGTTCATTGAATTATTCATTTAAATGATTCATGTAAATAACAGCTGATTTATTAATTAATTAATTAAAGTACTGTTTTGTATAGATCATTGCAGATTGGTTCTGAGCAGCACAATTTTTCTGATAAATAATGTTATAATAAAAAATTGTTGTTAATGAATAACAATGAATTAGACAGTAAATTATTTCACACCCCTATGTGTGAAATCTTGCCAAATACAAATGAACACAATCCTCTACCTAAAAAAATCCACAGTATTAATAATTAAAGGGACATTAAATTGGTTAAAAATGGTCAAAGGACTGAAATAACACTCAGGGTATATACAGTAGAAGCAGGGAAGCACTGTGGTTCACTATGTATACACACTAATTGATTTAGTATATCCAAGCTTTTGAATAATTGATATTCAGGGCTGGAATAGGTAGATAGTATATCTTGAAAACTGAAGACTTAGAAGTACAAATCTGCCAAGAAAAAAAAGAGAGAAAAAGAGACAGTCATATTAAAAAATTCACAATATAATCTTTCAAATCAGTCATATACACAACATATTATAAGATTAATTCATATTTTATATACATTTTTGCATTTTAAAAACTCAAGAAAAAGAAGCCAGATTCAAATGGCAGCCAGAAGAGAGAATAATAATTTTTTACCAATTTAAGCGGACAGAACATACATCTAGGGATGCTACGATCAGGATTTTTGCAGCCGATCCTAAGTACCGTTTCCTTGTCATGGTGATCGGCCAATACAGAGTACCGATTCTGATTCTTCAAGCTTTATTTAACTTTGCCAGTGCTTAACCACAATTACCCTTTAAGTATGAGATCTCGAATTAACCTAAGATAATAAATTAGGGATATTGCATACATGTAATGGTCAGAAGCAGCTTTACAAAAAAGATAGATAAAACAGATAAGAAAAATGACTGACAATGCAGTTTAGAAACATTGCTCATGTTGTATTACTGCTGATGCATAACCCGGTCGTGTACATGCATCAACACTTGTGATCAGTTCATGAGATCGGTCAGATCAGTGGTTACCGATCGAGTCGTGAAATGTGATTATCGGCCAATACCTATCTACGGCCTGTCGATCGGAGCGTCCCTGCATACAACAATTAGGTTGTCGCAAAAAAATAAAAATAAATAAAACTCAAGATTTGTGCTGTTTCAGCTCATTTTGAACATTACAAACTCATTACAAACTCCTTGCATAGTATTAATAGTTTTTATTTGATGCAAGGGTAGTATAATAGAAAGCATAGCTTTAAAAATGTACACATTGTTTTGTTTTTTTAAATCAAGATATTAAAAACTTTTGAGGATTTAAAATGCTGATAACCAATAAACGTGTCATCACCATCTTGTGAAAAAGGGTCCACAGAGCATTTAATGGACCTGTATATATTTAAAATAAAACACCTGCATAACAGTTTAACTGTCTGTTATGACACTTCAATCATCAATTTAATGCATCTTTGTCGAATTACAGTTAATTTACTTTTTTAAAATTAAACAATTCCCTAAGCTTTGAATAGTAGTGTAGCATATCTGTCATAATTTACATATAAAACACAATAAATTATTTTGTCAAAGAAAAAAAAAGAAAAACTATCCCCTTAACGTCACGAGAGCATAATATTTGACTTTAATATTTGTTGCCTGTTCAATGTTTCTCGACAAATTAAAAAACAGAGCCCACAAAATAAGTTTTCATTTAAAGCAGTAATGCACTAGTGCACTCAATATTAAAGCTCACTTGCTTTCCTTTGTCTTATTCCCTGGCCACAGCAGAATGAGCCATCAATTACTCTAGCATATGTTTTACACAGCAGATGCCCTGCCAGCAGCAACCTAATGCCAACAGTACAACCCTCAGTGTGGGAATCATCCACACATTCTCCCATTCACACACTACGGCCAATTTAGTTTCCCCAGTTCACCAATAGCAAATGTCTTTGGACTGTGGGGGAAACCAGAGCACCCGGAGGAAACCCAAACAAACACAAGGAGAACAAGCAAATGTCACACAAAAACGCCTTTTATCGCTGAGCCCTTAGCCACCAGCCCACCCCTTATTCCCTGGTTTATTTCCAACAGGCTCTATAAGGGTAAGGGGTAGGTGGGATGATGGGGATCTCTTCGCAAGATCAACAGGTCAGAAATCCTCTTATATAGCAAAGAAGATTGTGAGAGAATCTCCACGGCCATCCCAGGACTGCGACAGACACACTGCTAATCGCCTCTATAGGTAAAGCCTTTCAGACCACACAGCATCCAGTCCTGCCTATATGTGAACTCCCACTCACTTCAACATAACTGTCCAAAGGTATAGTTTACCCACAAAACTACAATTATGTCATCATTTAATCACCCTCATGTCACTCTTAACCTGTATGACTATCTCTATTCTGCAAAACAAATCAGAGATTTTGATAAATGTGTACTTTTTTGGCTTTCTTTGTACACATTAAAGTTAATGAGCAGCAAAATGATCAGTGTTCTTCACCACTTTGTTAATGTATTTACTGACATGAACTAAGGATGAGGGCAGCATGGTGGTGCAAGGGGTTGCACAATAGCCTCACAGTAAGAAGGTTGCTGGTTCGAGCCCTGGCTGGGTTAGTTGGCGTTTCTGTGTGGAGTTTGCATGTTCTTCCCATGTTCACGTGGGTTTCCTCCAGGTGCTCTAGTTTCCCCCACAGTCCAAAGACATGCACTATAGGTGAATTGGGTAAGCTAAATTGGCCGTAGTGTATGTGTGTGAATGCAAGAGTTTTTGGGTGTTTCCCAGTTCTGGGTTGTGGCTGGACGGGCATCCGCTGTGTAGAACTTATGCTGGATTAGTTGCCGGTTCATTCCACTGTGGCAACCTCTGATTAATAAAGGGACTAAGGATGAACCACACATGAAAACATGCCATAGTAATTCCCGGATAAAACTAAATTGTTTTTGAACCATACTATAGTAAAGTTGTGGTAATTCTATAGTTGCTGTGGTAATATGACAACGATAGTAATCTTGTAACAAATTACCCAACACTTTACTACATTTTCTACAACTATAGGGTATACTACAATAAACCTATTTACTGTAGTAAAACCCAAAGTATACTGCAGTATTTATTATAGTTAATCAATTTACTATTGTTAATACTACAGTATGCTGTAACATTAACTAACAAAGAGTTGTAAATGCAATTATATATACGATATTACACTTTACTATAATATAGTTAAAACTACAGCAGTATTTTATCATGTGTGCAATTATTAAATTATAATGTGTTGATGTTAATTTCAACATTAAGTTGTGCTTGTTAACATTAATTAACGCACTGAGTTCATAAGGCCAAACAATGAACGACTGCAAAGATACAGTAAAATGTAATGCTCACTGTTTATTTGCATTAGTAAAGACATTAACCTAAATGATTGTAAAGTGTTACTAAAGTATCTTCTTTAAAGTCATTCGTGCAGTTTTAAAACATAAGGGAGGATGGGTAGGCCTAAACGATAATGTGTTGATTATTTTTGGATGAACCGGATGCTAATTAGCATGCTAACTTCTATCCAACAAATACTGAGCACTCAAATAGCAACTTACCATTTACCTCCTCTGTATTAGGATCAATATGACGATCCAGGCCATAATCCATTGCGCTGTGAGTTTGTGGCTGTGGAAACGAGAACAAAAAAAAAAACATGTCTTTATCACTTTTACAACAACAACAAAACATTTGTAAGCTAGCATCTTCTGCTAGTCACTTACTGGAGGCCTGTGGACTATCCAGTATGCTCTTTCCTGACAGTCAAACACAACTCTGTCTGCTTTCGGACGTGCCTTCCCAGCACTTTAAAGACAGAAGATAATGACATACGGTAAGTACCATTAACAATAAAGAACTGTAGTAAAAGGTCAAGCCACAAATATATCTCTCAAAAAATTTACTTTTGTAAAAACAGGAGAGTACAGAAACTCACTGGTACTGCTCTTTAGCTTGCATCACAATAAAATCCCATTTGTGGTTCATCCATTTGTGGAGTTTGTCGTATTCCTCCTATAAAACACACATTAGTGTTCTAGTATAATTACTTTATTCATTAATGTCAGCATTTAATGGGATATTCAGCTTTGCACTAAAAAGTTTCGCATTTTATTTTATGGGAGCCCACAAAAAATAAATTGGGGTTTTTCTACAAATTAAACCAAACAAGGTTTTTGTGGTTAAACCACAAAATGGTAACCATGTACTAAGTTCTGCTGTACTAAGCATAGTTTAAAGTGCGTGGTTTCTAAAAATGGCCATTTACACACCCAAAAAAATCTATGGTTACTACACTTTAATTATAATAAACCAATGGTTAAGTTTTGTAAGGGTGGGCACTTTTACAGTGGGTAAGTTTCACTCAAAAAGACACATCATTTCAAATCATAAGATTGTACTATATAAATAATTACTGTTTGTTCATTTTCCATCATTTTCTTCTTCAGATGTCAGGAAAATAAAGTAAGGTGTTTTAACAATACATGATAATACAGTAATATAAAGGACTCTTTTTCAGTCATTTTTTCTCCCCATTTACATTTTGTTGACTTGTTTATTAAACTGTAACAGTATGAACAAAGACAACATAGGCTATACTCCATTTATACTACATAGTACATTTCCACTCTGCTTGTCTGATTTAATTGACAGTATGATATAACTCACGAATAAGCAGAAAATATGTCAAAATGATGAAAAATCACTATTTAACATCTACTTAATGATGCATAAATAATATTATTTTGGCGTTATTGGATTCTACAATCAATAATATAATTACAATACAATTAATTGCTTTTTAAACAATACATGACTTCAATAGCTCTATTTGGAGAGAACAGATTGTCTAGGGTAGGATAATTGTTTTGGTAGGGAAGTGCATCTAAATTAATATAACTAAACCGATTAAAACCATAGATAAACAAAACAAAGAACTGTATTTTATGTTATTTCTGAGGAGACTAACATTATTCAGTTTCTGAAATTGAATAATTATTAAATAAAGTATTTATTAATCATTAAATAACATTTGTGTTGAAAAAGGTGGATTGATCCTGTTATGCACGATTCATTCATTACCGTTTCATCAAAATTTAGCTTAACCCCACCCAAATTCAGTGCCTTAATCTAATCATCCAACCAATAAAGAAATTGAACTTTAAAATTGAACAATAAAGAAATTGAAATTTGCCCCACATTACAACTTTAAAAGGATTTAAAAAAAAAGTCTAATCAAATTAATTAAAATGTTTTACATACCTGTTCATGAGCATCAAGCGCTCCTTTTTTTCTAATATTTCTTTTTGCCAGATAGATTGCTAAAGTGATGAAAAAAAACATGTTTATTAGGGGTTGGTCACATACAAACATGTTTTTAAGACAAAACAAATACACAAAAAAAAATGTTCATTTTCATTTTTTGCGTGAAATACCCCTTTAAATGGATAAATGCAATAGCTGCTGGCCAGAGGTTTTCAAATATACCTTCAATATATATTATATTTCTAAACTCCTCTTAAATATTCATTATGAGATATGTTGTGGAAACTGAATATACACAAGTGTACAAACCATAGTCAATGTCCTCAGCGGCCCACTTCTGCACAGGCCAGAAATAGGGGGTCTAGACAGAGGGAAATGATCTCCGATTAAAACGCACCACAATTAAAACACTTTTAAATAAGTAAGTTCTCCTTACCTGAAAGCGATACAAACTGCCGTCTGATTTAAGGACGAGCTTTTTGTGGTCCTGCAGAGGATAGATGTATCCATATGCCACTAACATTGTGCCAAATGCTTGAGCCTCTGCCAAAAACAGCATCCAAGAAAATTATTGTGTTTAGTGATTAATCCAGTTCCACATTTAAATTGTATTATTTCAGATCGTTTCTGAATAATTTGAAACAACACATTTTCACAATTACCATTATTCTCCATGCTCATATGTTTAGCGATCCATGCAATAATGTCCTGGTCTGTCAAGACAAACAGAAACATGGTAATATCTAAACATATAGAAAATAAAGTGTGGTAAGAACATAAAAATGACATGATTTTTGTTTGCACAAACTGTAATAAACTATTGCAGAAATGATGCTTTCATATTATATTACTGTATCTGTTTTTAACTATTGTACACTTACTGTACGTCAGAAAATTTAATAGTGAGGTGCAATGTACTTTTCATGTTGTGTTTTGCTCCACACTGAGGTGCAATATGTTATCTTCAGAGAGAGGTTTAATGGTAATAGAAAGAGCCCAAAAAATGATTATAAAAATGATATATTCCATAAAATGTACATATCCGCACCATTTACTCTTACTTTACTCTCACTCTCACGCCACTGGCTTGCTTGGTTTGGGACTTGTGGAGCTGCACATCAATAGATTCGCTAATCAGTGTTTGGACTTTCAGGAGTAAAAATTAAACCATGTTGACCTAAACTAAACTGAACGTCAACTCTGAAAACTGGACTGATGCTGTTTCAAATTACTAGAACTTCTATGTTAAGCTGCTTTGACACAATCTACACTGTCGAAGCGCTATAGAAATAAAGATGAATTGAATTGAGATGAAACTTAGTTGGTTCTTTTTTCTGTTGAACACAAAGAAAGATATTCTGAAGCATATGTTGAAAGAAACGATGGCATCCACAGTAGAAACATCGTCATGATCATGTGTTGTTATTTGATGCCATGTCAGAAACAAAGACTATTTTCATATTATTTTATTAATAAATCTACAATTAAAAACAACAAACAAATAAACACATCAATTAGATAAGATTTTTTACGTTAATACATGATAAACATTTCAAAATATTTCCTAGTGACACTTTGCTGAATATCTCCATAAGTGAGTCCCATAGTAGGAACAAAACATACTATGGAAGTTAATGGCTGCTTTTTCAACATTCTTTAGAGTATCTTCCTTTGTGTTCAACAGAAGAAAAAAACTCAAATAAGATTTGATCTAGTGGAGAATAAGTAAATTATAGATATTCATTTATGAGTGAACTGACCCTTTAAGGATTAACAATAGGTTTGAGTGTTGCTTAAGGGCAAGGGCAGTGAGCAGATATCTTTAAATGTAAGCACACCATAAAATCATGCATATAAACCGCAAACTCACTCTATCAATTGATTAATTCAAAAGGCTTTACAAAGTACTACTAACAAAAAAGTAGGTCTGAAAATATTTACCTAAACATTCACACAATTTCAGAGTGAAAGAGTGCTTTTTAAATCTTATTACTACAAGACCCGGTTAACTGTTTGATGAAGTTAGACTTCTTGGCTGACTAGATTTGATGACAACCGTTGCACAGATTAAGGAGCAACTTTGGAACGTAAAGTAGCAAAGATCTCATCCAATTGAAGGTTGCTGTATATAGCCGGGCGTCAGATTATGATCTGGCAGCACAACGCTTGTGTCTGTATATAGACCTTAAGGTAGTGTACAGTATACAATACATGATCAGTATAAAGATTCAGTGAGAAGCCGGCAGTGCTGCATTACAAACTCACCCGTCATGACATGAGGAATGGTAGTAACGTTTAGCTTCTGATCTGATCCCTTCACACCAGTTGATGGGTCTTGCATTTGAACCACCATGGCCTCCAGCTGAAAAATTTAGGACATTTGTTTTATAATTAAATGATTAAATACAATGCTTAAATAAGAGGAGGATCAGTCTCCTTAGCTATTGAAGTTAAATGCAGGAAAAGGGCTCTCAATTAGGGCTGAATGATTTGAGATTTAGCTAGCTGTGATTGTCATGATCATGTAGGAAGCACAGTTCTGTGATCAGTAGTAAATCTGCTCAGAAGACTCTGACTCTTGTGTTGAAAACCAAAATATGCCCTAAAGAAAAAAACAAGAAATTTCTATAAAAGTTAGTAAATAAACAGAAAATTTAACTGCTTCCATTGATTCAACGTGACTAATTAACAACTACAACAATAAATGGTTTAACTGAGTTCTTCTTCTTATATTTTTTCTTGATAATAAAGTAAATATTAAAGCAATTACTTTATTTCTGCTTAGAATACTATGAAAAAGGCAGAATCGCTAACCCAACATCCTAGAGATATTGTGTCTTCCAGTTGAGCTACCAAAAATGAATCCACCCTGCCCATGAGGCTGTTTTATTGAGAAGAAAACAGAAATATTTAAATGCTTTTCATTCTCTCACACATTGAGTAATTATGCTGTATCTGCAATACAACAAGGGTTGAATCTAAATGCAGCTTTTATTAGATTCATCAGGCAGGCAAGGTTCAAACAGGGACAGATGGAAGCATGTAAATAATCCAGCGAGTGGCCAAAATACCAGGCAAATGGTCAGGGCAGGTGGTGAAACAAACATAAACAATGAAACAAACAAGAGTCAAAATCACAGTTACACTATATAAATAACACTTTCGCAATGCTCACTAGGTAAACAAGACTCAGCCAAGAGACTCAGTCTGCTCGTGAGGTGTGTATATAGTCCATCTGATTGGTCCTAAACAGTTTCAGCTGTGTGTGAACCTGAACCTGGTGTGTGACTGTGGGAGTGTTCTTCAGCAGCCTGCACTGGCAACACTGCTGGTGATCCTACCAGAATGTCCTTTTTGGGCATCAGGAGGTGCTTGAATTTGCATTTGCGCTAACTGGTGTTGTCAGAAGTAACAGTACACAATATAAAAAAATTAACTAAGATTTTTACTAAAATGTTTTAAAAAAAATAAAACAATAAAGGTACTAAGCAGGCTACCGGTAGTCCTGAGGATCCGGTTCTACATGTGATAAAATAAATCAATAATATTGCACTCTCTTTATGTCACCACTGAGACATGGCAACCGGCTGTGCTACTAATATGGCAGCAATGAATCCACTTCTTATTAAGAAAAAGAGGTAACAACATGAACCATTAACGCAGAGGTTGTTCTTTTATTTGGTAAACGTATATTTGTTTTTATTTAGTGAGTAATGTATTTGTTAATAGGGCCACTTACATTTTATTTTTTGTTTTTTTGAAGAATGCCTGCCCGAAGGGCTTCCAACAAGTTTGAAAATTTTCCAAACCCTAAGAAAGATCTATTTTAAACACTTGACTGAAGAGAGTTTGGGTTAACATCTGTGCATTGAGATTTATGTTTTATGGATTTTTTCTATTCAGTCAGTTAAATTATATACTGAGTAACTAAGTTATATTTCAGACAAAGTAATTAGCAAAAAAAATGTATGCAAATGTAATGATTGACTTTCTTTGATTTCATGCTTCGTGTAGTAAATGCTGCTCCATCTGAAAGACCATGTTAGGGATTTACTGCTGAACACAACTGGCTTTACTCACAAAATGTACATGAAAATGGCTTTTAATTAATCTTGCGGCCCTGCTTCCAATTAAGCTATATTTCATAAAAAAAACAACCTTTATCATATTAAATGTATAATATATTAATACAAGATTTTTAAATGATTGATTCTGATTGCCTGATGAACACTCTAATGAAATGTTTTATGATACAAGACTTTACAAAAATGTTGTGTGCTTTACCACACAAAATAATGGCATACACACCCAAAGCAAACATCCCCCAATTTATAAATGCACACACTAGCGAACTTGTGAACGCATCAAGTATAAACCACCCTTTAGAGAGCGTCATAGTTCCTTATTACTTCACGAAATGATTTTGCTTATTTCAAAGGTTCTTTTAGCCAAAAGTATCAAAATAACTATCAGAAAATAAATTTAACAAGTGACAAACTATTTTCATGCGCCAAAAAATATATGGCATTTCTCAGTTTAGCAGGGTACTAATAGTGCTGTTCTTGAAGCAGTAAAACTTACAGTGTTGCTATTACTAGAGACTTTAACGACTGTATTAGTCTGTATATTAATGGCTCAAGTCACAATTACTAGCTTAATTTTGGAATTATAAACAGAGGGGGAGATGAGATGCACAGAATATTAGATCAACAAGAGCAATTTATGGACAAAACCTGAAAAATGTCTGGTGTGTTAATTGTGAGGAAAATAATAAATAACAATTGACTCTGGAATGTTGAAATGTAAAAAAAAAAAGCCAACTGAGATGAGCTTCATTTGTCCTGATTCAAACTGATGTTCATTAGTACGTTCTAGGGCTGCACAATATATCATTTCAGCATGGATATCGCAATGTGTGTGCATTCGCAATAGTCACATCGTAGCATCTGTAATGTGGAGTTGAGATTATTATTGTTGATCAGCAATGAAGAATGTACAGTGTTACATTTTAAATCATGTTTGATTATTTAATAATAGGGGCAGGATAAAATATTGATATGCACAAGGTGGCGCTTCTCTTAATGGTAGATCAAACATATGTCAATCTAACAATTCTACAAAATATTTGTGCTGTTAATAAAAAAAATACATCTTTTAACTTTTTAAGTTATAATTTCATTTATAATTTAATATTTTCATGATATATTATGGCTGCTTTTCTTGTGATATGTTGCTGATATTGTGTTCTATCCTCATCGGGGGCAAAATATCATAATATTGTCTCGTATTACTGGTACTGAATATCCGACTTCTTATTTCACTTTTATCTTTGCTCTTTCATTTATTTATTCCTGCAATTTCTTTGATTCATTCCTCTACAAGATTATTCCAATTAATCTAAATTAATGATTTCATTCCAAATAGAGCTATTCATCTCCCGAAATTGTGGTCATAAGCTATTATTATAATAGCTTAACTATAATTTAGGAATTCAAAGCCCTGTCATCAATTACCCATTATAAATATCAAAACCTGTATATTTATAAAAATTATTTTAAAAGTAGATGTAACCACTGAATAAAAAGGGTCAGCAATCAGAAATAAAATAGCCCAATTCAACTTTCAATTCAAGAGTTCAGGCTTTAATGTAACTGTGTGACTGATTATAAGTTTCTACAGTACACAAGTCTACTAAGGTTTAACCACTAATACAAGTAACAATAAGTCCACCTCAGCTTTGACCTAAAACATGTTTGACACTCGTGTTCTACGGCAACATGCTTGAACTTTAGAGTAAGACATGAAGATCTTAAGGCAAGCTGTCAGATGTGGCAGGAGGCCAGGCTAATTGGATTTGAATCAGAAAGCTCTTTTACAGTGAATCTTTTCAATGAATAGAAGATCTCTCTTAGAAGCTGAAAATAAACAACAAAACAGAACAATAAACGACAAATATCTATATTTGAATATGGACATACTGAGATAAAGTGACATTGAAATCTGTTTATGCCATATTGATATTAACTTGTCCATTTAGAAACATTTTTACAACAAATGTCATGGTTAAGCTGTGGCTATTTCAGCAAATCCATGATTAATTTGTGGTTACCGTGGTTTAACTACAATAACCAACCACGTTTAATTTAAAAACCATTGTTAATTTAAATAGAAGAGGTACGGCTGTTAGGGTTTATTTTTTGGCTTAAATACCTTTTAATATATAAAGAATATAGCCTATATATGTATATGAAGAAAATATCCATAAAATACACTAATTTAAGGAAACACTGCAAAACCATGCAAACAACAGTTAATTTTAAAGTATTCAATGTCTTTGAAAGTGGTAATTGCTTGGTAATGTATCTCATCAATTGTTTACTTTGCCTTAAGTATGAACTTTACCTTTTTAAGGCAGGTCATCCGTGGCCTATAATGTTGTCCATGGTCTCGGTCCGATCTTATTGTCATTTTGTATTCCGGAAAAAAACTATATTATAAGTACAAAATTAATCCAGTTGTCAGCAACCCTTATAAGAAAGAAGTTTGTTGGTTTTCTGAGAGCTCTGGACAGTGCACGTACCACACCAGTGAGCAGTAAATATCAGAGAGTGATAGCAGACCAATCACAACGAAGCTCCGTTCTGCACTGCGCACACACTCCGACAGGCGGCGACACACACTCACACACACTCACACACACTCACGACACGCCTGCTTGGGGTTTCTCCTGGGACTGTCCTGCGATTAATTTAATCTGCGCTGTTCCTAGACCTAATCAGAAACTGCCGTTGTAGTTACAGTCAGATTAAAGGTCTATAAAACACTCCTCTGCTGGGCAAGATTGGGCCACTGAATCTAATCTTTCAGAATCAGTGAGCATTAAACAGGGGTGGATTTGGCCCCAATAGGGCCCAAAAGTCCTATTGTACACCTTTTGTACTTTAATTTATTCAGCTATTTTTATATCATATTTTCCTAAACTGAAAATAATAAATGAACTCTTTGACTTTTAAAAACTAAATCTAAACTAAACTTTGGCTGCTGAACTGCTCCATGATTGAAGGTGGGGGACACATTTGTACGGATATGTAATAATTCCGTTCACTATACAAAATATGATAGAAAACTACGCTATACACAATTTATGCATCTAGGTACCGTATTTATTGTGGGGCCCTCAGATTTCCTGGGGCCCTAAGTGAGCACTTGGTTAAATCTGCCTCTGGCAAAAAAAAAAAAATTGTCCTGTCAAAAGATTTAACATTTTGTTTGAGATTCAGCTGCTTTCATATGGGATAGGGAGGTTTGTTTTACTGGGGGATCCATTATCCCACTTTTCACTAAAAAAATCCCAAAAATTTATATTAAAAAATGTCTTTGAATTATGGGATTAGAATTTCTTCTGAAATTACAAAATATGCACAAAATTGCCAATTAGTTTTATTTTATTATATTTCTCTGACTTTGCAACATATGTCAGGCTTTACATCGTGATTAGAGCAAACAATGATGTACAACAAAAACAAAAAATCTGAGCGCAAATGTAAGTAATAAGCAAATCTCTTTGATGCACATGTTGCCCATACTTGTTTAAACTTTGAAATTGATTACATTCATTGGAGGAATATGTGCCTATTATTACTACGCTAATTTCTGCCTTTATAAAATCATAGAAGATTCCCTTTAATATTAACCTTTTATTCACTTTTGTCAAAAGATTGCGATGTAGCTGATATTTGAACTCTTTGAAGGAGAGAACATTTGTCACTTTTTTGTTCACTTTTTTCAACATTTGTCTTTGTTTTTTATTCATTGAGTTCATTAATTGAGTCTTTCCAAGGTTAATATGCAAAGTAATTTACACATTACGGATGTTATTTGCTATATTGAGGAAAAAAAAACTTTTTTAAGTAGAACATTAAATTAACACCTAGAATAATCTATAATAAAAATATGTTGTCTTTCCTTGCTCGATAAGTAACTTAAAAATATTTTTTCTCTCGTTCCTTATTTCCTCTTTCATCCTATGTGATATTGTGTGAAAATGATTACTCTTAAGCCATTTGCACTTGTTTAATGTATTGTTATTAAGGATTTGTTCTAGATTCCTAAACAATGTGTTTAGGCTATAATGTACTGTTTTTGTAATATTAATTATTGAATAAAATTGGGAAAAGAACCCGCCCAAAACTTCCATCAGAGCACTGCGCGCGCGCCACTGTTACAGCGCCCCGCCCGCCACCAGCACTCAGGCGCGCGCAGTTTCACTCCCTACTGTCTCGATGAAGTTGCACAAAGATGGCGTATTTCCTGCAGTCAGGGTCCTTTCTATCCCTTTGTTTTCCAAACTGTTTTCTCGACAGCAGCGATGCGGAACAGCTAAGGAAATCTAAAGAAATAGACCGAGAAATTTTCAAAGAAAAAACCTTTGTGAAACGCCTAGTGAAGATACTTTTGCTCGGCGCCGGAGAGAGCGGCAAGTCCACTTTCCTCAAGCAGATGCGCATCATACACGGGGATGACTTCGATAAGGGGGACAAAGAAGAGTTCAGAGGCACCATTTACAGTAATGTTATGAAAGGTAGGAGGCCCGTTTCCCATCCACAGACATGTGCGAAGACTAGCGAGGGGCCAAACTTGACTTTTTGCGTCTTCGGGAGGGATGAGAAGTGAGGTTTAGCTAGCGTTAGCTGAAGTTGCGCTGTAACCTGCCCAGAAGAAACGCCCATGTTATTCTCTCAACTTTTCACCGTCGCGGTCTTGAACAAAAGCCCTCTGCTAAGAGCTGGTTTCTGTCTAAATCATTCCTAGATAGTATGCGCATTCAGTGAGTGGATTAAATCGCTCTCGTGGCTTCATTGCGCGGCTGGACTCGCTTTTGAATTTCACCAGAAATGACCGTTAGCGCTTCATAAACAGCACAACTTCTTTGACTGTTGAATCTGTTTAAAAGCAACCATGAAACCACTATTACTAACTCAATTTTGAGAATATCACACTCAACATCATCATAGTTTTGAAGTTTTACCGGAATCTCGTGGCTATTTAAAGAGCTGCCTCGTGCGCGTTACTGGTTTGTCCGCACGAGTAACATTTAAATGCCATAACTAACGTTAAAGCTGTATTATGTAAAATAAATCAGGCCAATATGAAAAGCCCGGCTTAAGATGTAAATCAGCAGCTCTCTCTTGTTTGTTGGTATGCTGAGGCCGTCTCATAAATAACAAAGAGACTGGTGTCAACCGAGAGCATGGCACTCGACTCATATTCAAAGCCTAAATGCATAGTCGTGTTTATTTGCTCATTTTAATTGCAAATGAAAGAGTGGTTTTATTTTTCAGATATGTTTACTTGTAGTTACGGACGTGTGTGAATTCACGTGTTTTGGGCATCTGTGAAATAGATGGGTGGAGTCCAGAGCTCTCAGACTAGCACATGATGAAAACATGGGTTACCGGTGGCACTCACCACTAATACATGCTAAAGAAACTAACAGCTTTACTGTTTATGCTGTGGCTTTTTCACAGTTTCATACAGTTTAACAGGAGCCAGTCTTGCCTGATGGAAAGGAAATAATGATCAGTGCCCACCATGTATAATATGGGGCTCCCCATGTGGGCTGCCTCAGCTGGGGATTTCCATTGCATATTGCTATGAAAAGATTTCCTGTATGAGATTTATATGCGACATCAGTCATCGTTTTCGAAAGGCATCACAATGACAAATGCTTGAACTGTGGTCTCGTGGAGATTTGTCTGTAGTCACTAACATCATCATCATCATCATCATATCCTTCCCTAGCTCAACTTAAACAGGAAACATTTAGTCAAATGACAGCTTGGATTAAATCCTAAGGCATTCCAGAACACAGAAACTTCTTATAGTGCCTGGAGACTGAGATAAAAAACACTTAAACAATCAGTAGTTTTTCTATTGGTTTCTTGCATTTCACTCAAGATTGTACTCGCATGTATTTGTGGAAGTGTTTGGTCGAAGTCGAATGGTTTCTCATAGTTTGACAGATCAGTTTGGACACTGATTGCATCTTTTAACAGTTAATTATGCGAACCAGTTTGCCTGCATATTTTAACACTGCAGCTACCTTGTGATCTGGCAAAGTGATAGCTATAGTATCTGGGGATGGAGGGCATGTTTTGTGTACATCACCGTCTTGATTTGGCACTGAAACTTTTTTCTTAGTACCCTAAGGAAAAGAAAGTTTGAATGTTGTTTGAAATAAAAAAATCTTTAACTTAAAATTAATTACTTGCACTTTTAATTGATTTGAATGCATTTGTAACAGAATAATGCAGAATAAAAGTTTATTTTTTTCAAAACAGACCTGTTTTACAAGTCTTACAGATCTTAAACAACAGCAGTGAAGGCTATGGTGGCACATTATAAATTGGTTTAATGTTTTCCTTAAATTCTGATTTCTAACCGTCTTGCCCCCTCACCTTCTAATTTGTCAAATTAATAAATTGTTGTCAAAAAATTACTAGTGTTAAATAATACTAAAATGTTTAGTAGTACTGTATTGTTAAAATGAACTTTTATGTGTAACTTTTAACTGAGTGTTCTTTAGGCCTATCACAACATCCGTTTTTTGTTGTTGTTGTTGTTGTATAATATATTGCGGTAATCAATATTATTGTCATTTTTTTATTGTCATTATAATGACAATAAAAATAAACCCTTTCAAAGAACACAATATTTCATTCTTATTTAATTTAATTATAGTCATTTTTACAATTTAATAATTAAGCATTGGAATCAGAATGTGAAAATGCATATCTCATACAAATAAATAATAATAATTTTCACAAAAAAGTGCAAGGGTAAAAAGTAAGAGAGACCAGGGGCCTGTTTCAGAAAGGTGGTTAAGTGAAAACTCAGAGTATTTTAACCCTGAAATGAGAGAAACTCTGGGTTTTCCGTTTCAAAAGGGCAGGTTTGTCAAACTGGAGAAACCAGGGTAAGTCAAGCCTGTTTCTGAAAGAAAGGTAACTTTAACTCAGAGTCAGTTACTGTGGTAACTTACTCTTTGAATCTAACCTGGTCCGGAGCAGGTTTTATTCCCTAAACTCTGAGTTTCTGTCGGTCTCCTCCCCTTTTTTAAAGATGAAGCGTATTTCCCGCATTAGCCTTAGGGAGATGCCCTTAAAAACGATTGATGGATACGTGGTGATTCACATAACTTTTGAAAATACGCATAATAAAGCATGTGCATAACTGAGTAGGTTAAACTTTTATTTGATAAGATGCACATAAACTACGAAATGCACTTAAAGGGCCATGAAACCCCCTCGTTTCAGCAGGGTGTTTTCACACCTCTACTTTGGAAAAAGTCAGAAAAGTGGGCGTGTCCAGCTCTTTTTAGGGGGGAGTGTCAGAGGAAGAAAAGAGGGAGGGTGTGGCAGTGTCTATTTGGACACGCGCGAGTTTCAGAGTCAAAACTCACACACACAGTAGAAAGTGATGGTGTTTAACCTACATGGACATCTGTAGTCGAATTATTTGCCAAATTATTAAATGGTGGACTTTAACTGCAGTTTGGCTATTTCATTCAGGGAATTCATTCATGCCCCTCGCGACAAACGAGATATTTGATTTGAGGAGCTGCTCTAAACGTGTATTTTTCATGCAATGTTTGATACCGCACGGCGAATGAGAGAATAAAAACCCTCTGCATTTCCCGGAAACTTAGATGCACTGGGCAGGTAGTGTCAGAAAGCCGCGTGTGTTATTCTGGTCACTAAATGCGGGAAAAACCCTACACGAGGTTAAAGTTTGGTTGTGGTGCTAACATGTTTACACTTGGTGCAATAGTTTGTTAGATACGAACAAACTGAATAAACAAAGAGCACTGGTCGCTCACTTACCAAATCTGTAGAGACAGGACAATCACCAGCAACTAGAGCCGCGTCTTTATGAAGAGAATACTACAAGCGAATCTGGATCTCAGCGTTTGCAGATGAGAACAGCTCTCAGGTAAACAATAATCCTCCTTAGACACGTAAGTTATTGTTGTCGAGCGTCGCGTACACTGTTAATCCACACGTGACTCTGAGCTCTCACAGAGAGAAAATGAAAACGAAACTTAACGGCAGCAAACTATAAAAGCAACACTCCACGCTTGTTTTGCCAATACAATGTGGCGTCTCTGCCGTGTAAACACTGTGACACTAATGAATATTAATGAAGTTGCACAATAGAGCGCGCTGATTGGTTTGAACCAAGCCTTACTCATGCATTAATGCATCACACTGTAAGACATAATAAGACACACTCTGGCACAAACGCCCAGTTTGCATGCTGGAATACAACGCTATTATGTCATGACCGTGACGCAGCTTCAAAAATTAGTTTCAAACCCGAAGTACGAATTTGCTTGAAATAACGCAAAAACAACCAATTTACACTTTTTAGTGAAATATAGGTGTCCTAACAGTGTTTTAAGCAGTGTGGGACACATATACGACTGTCAACAGCTCAAAAAATGTGTTTTGGTGTTTCGTGACCCTTTAACAAATTACAGTATGTACATTACATTGTTTACTTATTGAACTAACATAACCACTGCATATGGACGTTTGTAATTATGTAAACACCCACTATAAATATACACTTGTAATGCTTATTTATCTGCATACTACTGATTATTAATAGCAACCTGTACATATATTCATATATTGTTACATATACACTTGTAATCATGTTTATCTATCCCTGTACATATATTCATATATTGTAACATATACACTTGCAATCATGTTTATTTATCTGCACACTACTGATTATTAATAGCAACCTGCACATATATTTATATATTGTAAATCTGCTCATAGCTTATCCAACCTGTATATAATGTTCATAGTACATTCATCTGTAAATAACACCATAGTTTTTCTATAACTGCACTTTATAACTTAATCCTGTATCCTGCACTTGCTGCTATTGCACTGCTGGTTAGACCTAAACTGCATTTCGTTGCATTGTACTTGTACATGTGTAATGACAATAAAGTTGAATCTAATCTAATCTAATTAAAAAAAAGGTTTGTTAGAGATGATGAGGAAAATGTGTGTGAATGGACAAATCAGCAGACTGAGCACACTGCAGAACATCTTAAATGTTGTTTTAGTCATTCTAAAATGCCTTAACTGTTTCAGTATTAGTGTATATTATTAATTACCTCCGAGCGTCTGGAGCGTGTCAAGATCTCCGCGTCTGGCTTCAAACGCTCCCACGTGTTCATTGTTTGTCAATTGTCTTCTGAGGCGCAAGTCCATTAATTAAATAAAAAATCATTGACGCAGCTTGTTCTACCGCAGTAAATTCTGTATTTACTGTTGATATTTGGCACAAGTTAATCAGGAAGTGACGATTGTGTTCTCTTCGACTCTTTGGATAAAAACGCTGCTTTATTTTTAGGCGTTATTCCAGTTTTGCACAAATTTATGTAATAGCCTATAATTTGATGGAAACAGCTATTGCCTACATTTTTGTCACACACAGAACAAAGTCACGTACGAGGCTTATCCTTTTTTTCATAAATAATTAGCTTAACCTTCGACATGC